ATAGGTCTTGCTTTACATATTCTTGGGTGCTTAAGCAAAAAACAGAGAACTGGCTGCCGAGCTGCACCCAGAAACTGGCCCAAATTCGAGTGTTCCTGCTGCAAGCTTCGAGTGAAAGAGGTCCAGGTGCACCCTAAACCCTAAACCCTAAACCCTAAACCCTAAACCCTAAACCCTAAACGGTTCAGGCTGGCCAATATTAGGGTTGAGGATACTCTGAGGCCTCCCAAGAACAAGGGCTTTTGGCTTACGTCGCCTGAAGAGCTGCTATGGTTTAGGGTTTAGGGTTTAGGGTTTAGGGTTAGGGTTTAGGGTTTTAGGGTTTTAGGGTTTTAGGGTTTTAGGGTTTTAGGGTTTTAGGGAATTTAGTGTTTTTAGGGTTTTAGGGTTTAGGGGCTTAGGGTGTTAGGGTTCTGCAAGGCTGCAGGAAGAGTTGTTGAAGGGTTAGGGTTCAGCATCTGTCGGGTTTTAGGGATTAGAGGGTCTATAGGGTCTATGTCAGGGTCTATAGGGTCTACAGGGTCTATGGGGTGTATGGGGTCTGTGCGTTTTCGGTCTGTCGGCTTTCCCACAACACATTGAGACAGGCCAAGTCGGCCCCGAATAGTCAGCCACCCTCCCGACCATGCCCAAAGCGCCCAGCACCTCTGAATTCAGGAAACATGTCTCAAAAACACTCCTACATGTACCTTAAGAACTCCCCCCCCCAAGAAAAAAAACAGAATTTTCGTAGGTGACCTTTGACTTTGTCTAGTCTAGGAGTCTTAGAATGATAGCCTACTCAAAAGTGGGTTTGTTGGGGTTCTATCCCTTGATGCCGGCGTCTTGGGTCCTCTTCCGGTGCAAGGTTTAGGGTTTAGAGCTTGTCTACCGCCCGCCTAGCCCTAAACCCTAAAACCCTAAAACCCTAAAAACCCTAAAAACCCTCAAAACCCTCAAAACCCTCAAACCCTAAAACCCTAAAACCCTAAAACCCTAAAACCCTAGAACTGCACGACCACTTTGCAGGGATTCGGTTGTAAATGCGCGAAATTCCCTCGAGGCTTCGGCCTGCTTACTCTGGCAAGACTGCAGCAACTGGGTTTAGGGTTTAGGGCTTAAGCAGAGTCATGGCCAGTTTCTCTGGCACTTTGTTTTCACAGGACTTACCCCGGGTTGTTTCAGTCTGACGAGTGCCCGCCAAGACCTGAAACCCGAAACCCCCAAGCCCATCTAAGCCCTTTTGTTGCGGCAATGGAAGGGCACGCCCGGACATGTTTCCCAAACCCTAAACCCTAAACCCTAAAACAAAAACCCTAGACTACAAAAAAAACACTAAACGCCCCCCCCCCCCCCCCCCCCCCCAAAAAAAAAAAAAAAAAAAAAAAAACTGCACCCCACACCCCACACCCTACACCCTACACCCTAAACCCTAAACCCTAAACACCCCCCAACGCCTGAAACCATGAACCGCAACATCTCCGCAGCCTTGTCAAAGCTCATCCCGTGCGCGGCTCGGATCCTGCCCCAGGTATGTGCTCAGGGTTCGAGGCTTAGGGCTTGTTGAGGGTTTAGGGTTTAGGGTTTAGGGTGTAGGGTTTAGGGTTTGGGGTTTGGGGTTTGGGGGTTCCCTAAACCCTTTTGACCCAATCTCTTTTGACCCTAACATCCCTAACCTATTCCTGTTCGGGTTTAGGCCTAAACTGGAATTGTTTCATGAATCTCAATTCCCAGAGTCCTGAAAGAAGTGATCCTTTGCACCGCACGAACAGTTTCAAGACACTGAATACTGAAAAACCCGCCATTGCCGAAATGCTACACGAAAGCCCACGCAGGCCGACGAACTCGTGCTCTTTGTCACATGTGCGTTCCTGCTCAGGCATGTTCTGCCTTTTCGACACGGAGGGTTTAGGGTTTAGGGTTTAGGGTTTAGGGTTTAGGGTTTAGGGTTTAGGGGCGTTGCGTGCCTCTTACAACCACGGCTGCCACGTTTTTCGAGGTCCTTTCCCACGTGACGTCTCGAACTCACCACGCCCTGCCAGTGCTTTTCGCAGCGTCTGCCTGCATCTTCTCCCGAAGTCCTACCAGCACAATAACCCCCTAAACCCTAAACCCTAAACCCTAAACCCTAAACCCTAAACCCTAAGCTCTGGACAGGCTCGGATCACTCCCGCTTCCCAATCCTGTCCCCAGATACATGGTACTTCTTAACCAATATAATATAAACCTGTGCTTATCACTGTATTTATGACCATATTCGGGCACTTACGGGGCTTATGAGTGGGTTATAAGTAGAGCTATCATTGGCAAATAAGTACCACGAACCTCCAAGTAGATCCCTTAAACAAAGCCCGAAATCCTAAACCCTAAACCCTAAACCCCAAAACCCAAACCCCAAACCCTAAACCCCAAACCCTAAACCCTAAACCCTAAACCCTAAACCCCAAACCCTAAACCCGAAACCTTTAACCTGGGGAGCGCCTGCTGAAGGCTTGCAGCACTGCATCCTCCCAGGCCTGGTGATGCTCGCCCACCAACCTCGGGGCGGCGGTTTAGGGTTTAGGGTTTAGGGTTTAGGGTTTAGGGTTTAGGGTTTAGGGTTTAGGGTTTAGGGTTTACAAGGTTTTAAGTCCGAGCCGGCCTTTTTATAGGGTTGTCTATGGGGACTGCAAGGGCAGAAGAGCCCATCCCGCTAAACCCTAAGCCCTATAGGGTTTAGGGTTTAGGGTTTAGGGTTTAGGGGTTTAGGGTAAGCCGGAAGCGCTGAGCCCACAACCCTAAACCCTATAAACCCCAAACCCTTGCTTGAAGCCTCATGTGCAAACTGTCGGAGTCCTCTGACCTCCCAACAGAAACACGATGGGATCCTGCTTCACATGGCTGCTCAGAAACAGTACCTTAAGAACCCAAATCCGTTTTTGTAGGTTACTCCTATAAACCCCCCCCCCCCCCTTATAGGATTCTTAGGACGCTAACCCCTCTAAACCCTAAACCCTAAACCCTAAACCCTAAACCCTAAACCCTAAACCCTAAAAAGTAGGTTTGGGGGGCGCAAGGCACGAGAGGAGCCGCTGCTGCTCCTCGTCGACTCGGCTGAGCGCCCCTTCCGCCATGGCGTCGCGCACCGAATGGCTTGGGGTTCGGGGTGGTCCCTCGAATAAGTTCCTGAAACTCTAAACCCTAAACCCGAAACCGTAAACCCCCACAGCATACAGCATGTGAAACACGGGCCCTTTTATTGGGGTTTGGGGCTATTTTTGTTACATACTTTTTGGGGGTCCAGGTTGGGGCCTAGATCTTGGTGCTGTAGGCTTTTCTGTCGCAGCTCTTGGTGTCGACTTGCGGCGGATCTGCTTCTGCCGTTGCTTGGACATGCTATCCTGGGCTCCCGACTCCCCACTCTATAAATCTTTCTGTCCCGGAAACGGCGGTGGTGAAGTAACATGGATCCCACAGCCTCGACAGCTGACTGCCCAGCCCTATCCCCCCCCTGAAAAATCCACGAGCTTTCTTGATGGAGGAAGGGGTAGGGGGTTTAGGGTTTAGGGTTTAGGGTTTAGGGTTTAGGGTTTAGGGTTTAGGGTTTAGGGTTTAGGGTTTAGGGTTTAGGGGAACAAGTGGGACGTGGAGTTCAGAGCAGTCCCAAAGAAATGCGAGGCTCCCAATGTCTTCATTCTCTACGAAGAGCCAGGTACCTGGAGGTTCATGGTACTTAGAAACTAATTCAAACTGTACTTAAAACCCTGTGAGAAGCTTAAGTAAGTGCCCTAATGTGGTTATAAGTACAGTTGTAAGTACAGCTAGAATTAGTTACCAAGTACCATGAACCTCCGAGTGCGGTCTAGAGGAACGGCATTTAAAGAAGCACCAAGAAGAAGCGACTCCTTGCTGAATTACGTAAGGTCCCCCTTCAAAAGCAATCCAGAAAATGAAGACCGAGTCCGAGAAGCTTAGCAACCAAGAGGCCGCGGAACCTAAACCCTACAAGCACGGTGAACGCACACAAAAAAAATTGGATAACAATATTGACAAAAAATAATAAGAACTCATTCCAAGCAAGAAACTAGACCCTGACCATTTCTTAATCAAGGGTCTGTCATAAGGCAGACTTCTTTTTGACCCACACTACATACCTGCAAATCCGCGGCCCTCCAGTCGTCCAGCCCTTCAGCCCCCCAGCCCCTCACCAAGCTGCGCGCCAGCGCGGGAGTCTGGAGGGCTTAAACCCTTAAACCCTTAAACCCAAAACCCAAAACCCTTAACCCTAAACTGTAAACTAAAAATACTAATAAGAGAACTCCTATAACAGCTCCCTTAGAAGAAAATAAAACTGCTTAAATTCCATCAAGTCTGTAGGGGGGCTGGAGGGCGGCGCCGGCTCCCACTGAGGGCTGGGAGGCGGGGGCGCTGAAAGCCAAAACCCTGACCGAACCCAATGATCCCAAAGCGACTCTCTCGCTTACCCCTAGTTGTCCAGTAACCTGTGGGAATTAAAGGTTAACCTTTGGGATGACAAGGGGATTATACTACCCCAAAAAAGTTAAAGGTTACCTACTCTACTCCTAGGTACCTTTTCTGGACCCGGGACTAATCCAGGAATTAAAAAAGGGTGCCCGTTCTGGTTTAAAGGGGTTTAGAGGGGAAGCAGAGCCCTAAAACAAGGGAATCAGGACCTACTCTGGGTCCAAGTTTTCTGTGTCCTCAGGATAAAGCACACTTAGTTTGTGCCTTGAAGGAACGATCTACGAAGCGGTAAAGTAAACCCAAAACCCTAACATCCTAGATACGAGACACCGAGCACCCTCATTCCGAACACCTGGTTAAACCCTCCACCACGAAAAGAAGCCTATTCCTTGAGACGTCCAAGCCCAGAAACCCCCAAAATCTCTGCCAGCCTGACGGGTTTAGGGTTTGAGTACCACAAAGGAGCTTAGGACTTCGGGTTTTGGGTTCAGGGTTCAAAGTTCAGGGTTCAACCCCCCTGTCTTTGGCTGCGATTTTCACTCGCAGCGAGCGGGGTCTCAGAGGGCTGTCCTCAGCGCTTCCACGTCCACCTGCGCCTGAGGTAGGATGGGCTATCATACCCTATAACCCCTGTAGGGTCCAGGGTTTAGGGTTTGGGGCTTAGGGTTTGGTCTATCATACCCTATAACCCCTTAGGGAATAGGGTTTAGGGTTTAGAGTTTAGGAGTTAGGGCTATCATACCCTGCAACTTACAACCCTTAAAAGGCCCTCTATAGGGTTGATCATGGGGATTTTAAGGGCTTAGGGTTTTCTACACTTAGAAAGGCCCTCTAGAGGGTTGATCATGGGGATGTTAAGGGGTTTGGGGTTAGTACAGGGTTCATTACGATCCCAAGGCCTAGTAACCCGTCCTGGTAGATATGTTTGAAACTGGCGTGGGCTGGGTACTTTTCGGGCCTTTGGGGCGTTTAGGGCTTTTCATGCTGCGGGCGGCTCTTGGAGAGTTTCACCAAGGGCTAAGTTTAGGGTTTAGGGTTTAGGGTTTAGGGTGTGGAGGGGCAGGGAAGGGGCAGGGATCAGCAAATTGAGGGGCTCAGGCTTGCTTCTGCTGTAGGTTTTTCCAGCCCACAGCTCCGAGTAGAAGAGCCCAAAGAGGGGGTTTAGGGCCTAGGGTTGTTGTACCTTATGAGCCCAGTATAAGCCTGAAAGCTAAACCCTAAACCCTAAAACTCTGAACCCCAAACTGGGCTGCATCCGGAGGCGCTAGACGGGTTGAGTTAGGGTTTAGGGCTTCGGGCTTAGGGCTGAGGGCTCAGGGCTTAGAGCTCAGGACCTTGGACCTCGTACAGACGGCTTGCTTGTCCAAAATCCCAGATCTGCAATTCCTCCTTGGCGCTGCTACTTTATGTTCGTAGGGCTTACATAGACCCCAGGATGCAACGTAGACCGGGCTACCAAGAAGCCAACAAGACAGCCAACAACTTCACGTCCCCTAGATCTAGGGCTCTTCCACGTGCCATTTATATGGGTAGATCCCCAAATTCGGGTCCCCAGAAGAGTAAGGCACCTTCATAAGGACGCGAAAAGGAACCCTAATTTAGAGAACTACCCACATTAAGTTTACGTAGAGATAGTCTTGCTGTAAACCTTATATGGTGTTGCGATAACCCTTCTACCTCTTGGTACGGCAAGGTAATGGAGACCAGCCCCCACCCAAAACCAGCCCCAACCCCACAGCATCATGCTAAAGTGAACTTTTGCTTGGGTTTAGGGATTTAGGGTTGAGAGTTTGGGGTTCGGGGTTTCGGGTTTAGGGTTGAGGGTTTGGGGTTTAGGGTTTAGGGCTTCAGGCTTTGGGCTCAAGAGCCTGCTGGGACCAGGGATGCTTTGAGCCCAAGCTGGTGCGGAGAGCCGAAGCAGCGGTTGCCAGCTCCTGGAGGGCTCAGGGCTTAGGCCTCTTTGTTTAGGGTTTAGGGTTTAGGGTTTAGGGTTTAGGGTTTAGGGTTTAGGGTTTAGGGCTTAGGGTTTAGGGTTTAGGGTTTAGGGTTTAGGGCTTAGGGTTTAGGGTTTAGGGTTTAGGGTTTTTACGCTTTGTTTGACGGCAGACGTCCGCTATGCAATAAACCACGAAAAAAAAACAACAATACTTCATTCCCAAAAACGAAAACTACAAACCTTGTGGCATAGACCTCTACATATCCTTCGGCACGCTCTTCTCATTTCTCGAACGTAAAAAATCAGACACCTGAGAGAGAGAGAGAGAGAGACAGACAGAGACAGGCAGGCGAAATGGCGAGAAGAAGAGAAAGAGAGAAGCGAAAGGGAGACACATGGAAGAAATGAAAAGCGCAAGCGATAGCATTAAAAAACTCTCCTTTCCCTACCCTGCTTGCTTCCTGTCTCCTCTGTTGGTCTTTTCTTAGTCTTTCAGAAGGGTGTGAAAAGAGTGGAAGAAGGAAAAGGACGAGGGGTGAGAGCAGAAAAAAGATTTCAGAAAGAGAGAGAGCACGCACACAACCCTAAACCCTAAACCCCAAGCCCCCATAGCCCAGAGCCCCTGTCAGCCTGCAAAGCAGTGGCACGCTCGCCGAGGGCGACGTGGACCAAACCAAGACCTGGCCCCAGGGTGGAAAATCAGCGGTTTGGGTTTAAGGTTTAGGGTTTAGGGCTTAGGGGTCTTGGTGTTTGGGAATTAGAGTTAAACGAGTCTTGGGATGTCGGGTGAAAAGGGTGTTGGGACAGAGGGTTTATAGGGTCTTGGGGTCTAGGGTCTGTAGGGTCTTGGAGTGTAGGGTTGATTCTAGGGTTTAGGGTTTGGGGGGATGGTTTCCGGTTGGGGTTTAGGGATTCGATGGTCTTGGGGCTTAGGGTTTGGAGGGTTCAGGGTCGTAGGATGTAGGGTTGAGAGTTTAAGGTTGGCTTAAAGTTCGGGTTTGTAGGAGTAGGTGCTTATAGGTTTTAGGGGGCCCCCGATAGTTTCGGCTTTAATGGCGACGCGACTACTATATTGTGGGGGAACCCTAAACCCTAAACCCTGAACCCTGAACCCTAAACCCTAAACCCTAGATCCTACACCCTAAACCCTACTAAACCCCAAACCCAAAGCCCTAAACCGCAAGTTTCGCAGGTTGGGCTGCCGTGGTCGCACCCTCTCGAGAACCCAGGGTTCAGGGACTAGGCTTAGGTTTTTGTGTGGAGCCTTTACTTGGAAGCCTTTGGGAACTAGGGTGCTATGGGTTTAGGGTTTAGGGTTCAGGGTTTGGGGTTTATGGGGTTTAGGGTTTAGGGGGTTAAGGGTTTAGGTTTGCAACTCGTTCGGAGCTTCCCCTGCTAGCGAGCCCTGTATAAACGGGACCTGTGCTGGTCGCAAGCCTAAATCCCTAAACCCTAAACCCTAAACCCTAAACCCTAAATCCCTAAACCCTAAAGCCTCAAGTGTCCCCCTGTTGCGGTCGAAACCTTCAAACTGCAGGCCAGCGGCAGTGCCGTGTTCGTGCAGTGTCTGGGTGCCTTTGTGGGCAGAGAACTAGCTAGGTTTACCCTAAACCCTCCGATCCCTGAACCCCCCTTTAAGCCTTAAACCCTCCGATCCCGAAACCCTAAACCCTAAACCCTAAACCCTAAACCCTAAACCCTAAACCCTAGACCGGCTCAGCTTTCAAGGGGATGGCAAAACCGAAGCCCGAACCCCAAAACCCTGAACCCGAGACTGTTTCGGGTTAGGGTTTAGGGTCCAGGGTATCCAGAGGGCTCAAGGCCCAACACCCTTAGTTAAGGATTTAGGGTTAAGGATGTAGGGCTTAGGGTTTCGGATCCTAGTATGAATTAAGGTATATTCCCCAGTCTGGGTTAGTTGCATGGTCCCCTAATATGGGTCAAACCCTAAACCCTAAACCCTAAACCCTTCCCCTTAGGGAATCCTTATATACTCTTTCTGTGAAACCCAGGGGTCGATACTTCAGCACCTGCGAAGGAAGGCAAAGGACGATACTAAGGGTTTAGGGTTTAGGATTTAGGGTTTAGGGTTTAGGGTTTAGACACCCACTCAATCAAAGGATGCTATGAGGAGGAGAAGGGGGAGGGGGGGCGGGGGGGTGGGGGTGCCCAATCCAACCACATCAGCTTCAAGCCCACATTAAGCCCCTAATAAGCTCAACATCAGCGCTTCATAGGTAAGACTTCCTTCTTTTCCGGGTCCTTGGTAGGGAACTCGGGACTTATACATAGTGTCCGTCACAACCACTTGAAAGGTTATATGGCGGATATAAGATACGGACTTCTCGAATTTCATAGGGAACTGGCAGGTTGTTTTGGGAGGTTTTGCTTTTGTTTGTTGGCGGGGGTACCCCAAAACCCTATGTACACACTATAAGCCCTAGCTCTTTTTTTATATTGCTTTGTTTCTTTTTCCCAGAACCCTAAACCCTATATAAACCCTAAACCCGATACCCTATATGGGTATAAGCCCAAACCCAAAACCCCTTCTAAACCCTAAACCCTAAACCCTAAACCCTAAACCCTAAACCCTAAAGCCTAAAGCCTAAAGCCTAAAGCCTAAAACCTAAAGCCTGAAGCCTGAAAGCCTGAAGCCTGAAGCCTGAAGCCTGAAGCCCAAAGCCTGAAGCCCAAAGCCTAATTCTAAACCCCAAAGCCTAATTCTAAAGCCTAAAGCCTAAAGCCTATAGCCTAAAGTCTGAAGCCTAAAGCCTACAGCCTAGATCCTAGTTAAGCCTATATAAATCCAAGCCCTAAACCCTAAACCCTGTGCAAACCCCAAAGCCTAAACCCTAAACCCTGGCCTCTACATAAACCTAAACCCTAAACCCTATACAAACCCTAAACACTAAACCCTATATAAACCTAAACCCTAAACACCCTCAACCCTCTCTCACAGGCAAGGCAGCTATCACCTGCACACCGACGCCCCCCACTAAGCCCGCAGCCTCCCCGAAATCCCTGTTCTCTACAAAGAACCAGTCAAGTGAGTTTAGGGTTTAGAGTTTAGGGTTTCGGGTTTAGGGGTCCTTCGACCCTAACGATGCCGTTTTGGGATATCTGCCGGGTACTCTTCGCTGGGGAACAGGGATTCTGGGCTTTCTCGAGCGCCCTAAACCCTAAACCCCAAACCCTAAGCACAAACCCTTTTTCCTTCATGGCGCAGATCCATGGTGTCCTGTCCGTGAACGGAGTGCACGTGAACAAAACGCCGAGCTCCCCCGGATTAGAAGCTAAAAGCTGGGGTTAGGGTTAGGGTTTAGGGTTTAGGGTTTAGGGTTTAGGGCTTAGGGCTTAGGGTTCAGGGTTGGGGGCTCCACACGCTGCCAACCAAAAGATTCTTGCTGGCTTGTCAAAGGTTGACCGGTCCAACTTCGGGGAGCTTGGGGAGCTTTCCTCTTTGGCATTGCCCACTGAGCCCAATCGAAGGCCGAACATGTGCGGTCTCGGACTAAGGCCCTAAACCATAAACCTTAAACCCTAACCCTAAACCCTAAACCCTAAACCCTAAACCCTGAACCCTAAACTCTAAACCCTAGACTTGAGGCTTAAAAAGCTCGCAGTTGCCTGCAAGATCGCCATGTTGCCCTACTCAGCAGAGGCCCTCAGAACACGGGGTTGGAGAAGCCCTCGGCAGCGGTGGTATTCCGCTTCGCTGCGAAGAAGATGCACCGGTACCTGCAGCTGATTCTTTTTAGCTTAGCTGCTGAGTTCAGAAGCCCGAAAAAAAGTGTACACTCTCAGTTCTATGGGGGGATTTAGAGTATCCCAAGAAGTGTAAAGTGTACTCATTCAGCTACTAAGTTAGGCCCGTCTTACGAAAGTCACCGAGCACTCGCCGTCCTACAGCCATCCCATGTGGGGGTTTACGATTCTCGGGGTACCTGATTGGGGTCCTGATTATGTGAGGGGATCCTACTACTTAGGGGTCTACTTTTGCGGGGTCCCGAATGGTCGTAATCCCCCATTCCCTCTATCTCTCCCAGGCATTCGAAACGTCTCCCCCATTCCCTAAACTCTAAAACCTAAACCCGGAATCCTAAACCCTGAACCTTAACCCTAAACCCTAATCTAGGCTCTCAAAAACCCTAAACCCTAAACCCTAAACCCTAAACCCTAAACCCTAAACCCTAAACGCAGGGACCGCGCTTCAAGGCCCAGGTCTGCGCTGCAAAGGTTTCTTGCAAGACTGTGAGTAGCTGGGACATTCATATGTGTTGCATCTTAGGGTTTAGGGTTTAGGGTTTAGGGTTTAGGGTTTAGGGCTTAGGGTTTAGGGTTTAGGGTTTAGGTTGATAAGCTAGGATAGCCCTTCTGACCCTCTGAAAATATTCCTGAAGATGAGCCTCTTACACCCAAGAAGGGAACATGTAAAAATTGTCCCAGGCCGACTGAGTAAGCCAGCAGAGTCACTTGTTGACGCTGAGGCCCTCCGCGTTGCCGGTGTACCGTGCAATCTTCTCGGACTCCTGCCGCACATGAAATGCTAGTTGGGCCTTACAGTACTTCCTGTATAATGACATTGGGGAGCCCCCCCAAGTTCTATGGAACCCAAAAGCCAGGAATTTTCTTCCCAGGGAGCCCCAATACCCCTTAAATAAGGAATGCACCTATTATAATCACCCTGTGCTTAGGGTTTAGGGTTCAGGGTTTAGGGTTGAGGGTTGAGGGTTTAGGGTTCAGGGTTTAGGGTCCAGGGTTTAGGGTTACTCTCTCTTCTCTCTCTCTCTCTTGTCTCTGTTTTTGAAATGTGCTTTTTTATTCTCTGGCGTATAGGGTTTAGGGCTTAGGGTTCATGATCTTCTCTCTCTCTCTCTCACTTTCGGGCTCTCTCTCTCTCGGGTTGAAGGCCTTTTGGGCACCAGGCCACCCACGCATTTCTGGGGTTGGCTACGTTACCCAGCAACCAACAAAAGGGGGCAGAGGGGCACCACTGGGTCACCAAGTTTAAGCAACCTGGATCCCCAAAGTGTGAAACCCTAAACCCTAAACCCTAAACCCTAAACCCTAAACCCTAAACCCTAAACCCTAAACCCTAAACCCTAAACCCTAAACCCTAAGCCCTAAACCCTAAACCCTAAAGGTTCTAAAGTTTAGACCTCACCTCCTCCCGAAATCTCGCAATCCCACCATCTCTTCCTCTTAGTTCTCCAATAACCAAGGGGAAACATGGTCAAACTTTACTAATCCTACCACATAAGGAACCCAAAAAGATTGAAGTTCTGCGATTGGCGATGTAAGTCCTCCAGGATGTCGAAGTACTTGCAAATCTGTGGCTTGACTTCCTCCCAGCTGAGCCTGGGTGGGGTGTAGGGTTTAGGGTTTAGGGTTAGGGTTTAGGGCTTAGGGCTTAGGGCTTAGGGTTTGGGGTTTAGGGTTTAGGGTTTAGGGTTTAGGGTTTAGGGTTCAGGGTTCAGGGTGCAGGGTTCAGGGTTCATGGTACTTATTAACTAATTATAGCCGTACTAATAGCTGTACTTATAACCGTATTAGGGCACTTAAGGGGCTTATAAGTGGGTTATAAGACTGTTATAAGTACAGTTATAATTAGTTACCAAGTACCATGAACCTCTAGGTAGGGTTCAGGGTTCAGGGTTAGGGTTTAGGATTCAGGGTTTAGGATTTAAGGTTGAGGGTTTGGGGGTTTAGGGTGTGGGGTTTAGGGTGTGGGGCACAAAGTAAAGGGCCTCGTCTTTGTACCTGCGGATACATCCATCTACGACTTGCTTAAGAACCCCCTCAAAAAAACACAAGATAATAATCCCTATATTGCCCTTTGTTCCACTTATAAGCACATAGTAGTCATGCGATGTATCTGTAGCTTGAAGTAACTGGGGGAGCCCCAACAATCTGCAACAAAGATTATTTGCGAAGTTATATTTTGGTGATTCTGCTGCCCAATATTTGCCGGCCATGGAGGGCACTGTCCGCGCAGCCAAGGCATCCATACAACTGACTCAACTGACCAACTGTTGCGCACGCAATGAACGCAGCATGCTTTCTCCGCTCGCTGGCAACACTGGATCACATGTACAAAGCATGAGTGGGCTGAGGCCTGCCGAGATGCCGCGCCGTGCCCGAATTTGGCAGAATGCGCGCTTGCAAAGTATGGGGATGCATGAGTATGCTTAGCTGGAGCGATGCAAGCACAGTATAGAGGCCACAGAAGGCACTTGGATACCCCTACCGGCATTTTAGTCTGGGTCTTGATGGCTCTCACTCTCCTCCTCCGTGTCTAGTGCCATCAACGGGCACAAGGCCGCTCTCTCTCTCTCTTTCTCTCTCCCTCTCTCCCTCTGTGCTTCGGGCTTTAGCGGCTGAGGCTCAGGGCTGCATGTAAAACTTGACAGCCGCCCCAAGAAAGGGGCCAACATGCGGCCGGGTTGCTCGATCGAGATCTCATTGGGTGCATCTGCATAATGGTAGAGCCTCGACTGCCACGTGAACCCAAAGAGCCCAAGAGCCCCTGAATTGAGGATTTATTCAAGGGGTGTCGGCACCCTAAACCCTAAACC